CACACACACTGGGGATTGAGCCCTGATCGAAATCAAACCTTGGCTCTCAGGTTTATAGGTAGATGCTCAACCACTGAGCCACGTCAGTCAGGTTTAATTAAGTAAGCCTCTTTTAATCTACAATTTTCTCTGTCTTCTTTCCTGCAACCTATTGGTTGAAGTTAACTTGTCCCATGATTTTCTATAGATTGAATTTTACTCATTGTTTAGCCATACTGTTTAACATTTTCTCTATATTTCCTAGTATCGGGTTCAATTTTTTTGGCAAGATTTTTAAATAGGAGATGGTATGTTTTTTCATTAAAAGGCATATAGTTTCGGGCTGGGGGAGGGGGGTGGTTAATTGGGGAAAAAGGAGACATGTGTAAAACTTTAGACAAAAAAAGGCATATACTTTCCTTGTTTGTCATGTTAATGTAAAATGAATAAATCCATTTATTCCTTTTGAATCTCAAAATGGCATTGTATAATTTGTGTAAATTGCAGGAGTTATTACATCAATTAATCAGATAGTTGGTATAGTCCTAGATAAAACTATGGTAATGTGTAAAACAGGGAAGGTTTAGAGCAGTGGTTCTCAACCTTCCTAATGCCGCAACCCTTTAATACAGTTCCTCATGTTGTGGTGACCCCCAACCATAAAATTATTTTCGTTGCTACTTCATAACTGTAATTTTGCTACTGTTATGAATCGTAATGTAAATATCTGATATGCAGGATGTATTTTCATTGTTACAAATTGAACATAATTAAAGCATAGTGATTAATCACAAAAACAATATGTAATTATATATGTGTTTTCCGATGGTCTTAGGCAACCCCTGTGAAAGGGTCGTTCGACCCCCAAAGGGGTCGCGACCCACAGGTTGAGAACCACTGACCTAAATAGACACTTCTCTAAAGTGGACATACAGATGGCCAACAGACATATGAAAAAATGCTCAAAAGTCACTGATCATCAGAGAGATGCAAATTAAAATGACAATGAGGTATCACCTCACACCTGTCATAATGGCTACCATCAACAAATCAACAAATGACAAGTGCTGGTGAGGATGTAGAGAAAAGGGAACCCTAGTACACTGTGTTTTCCGATGGTCTTAGGTGATCCCTGTGAAAGGGTCGTTCGACCCCAAAGGGGTCGCGACCCACAGGTTGAGAACCACTGGTTTAGAGGAAGGCTATGCTACTGAATTATTAAAGGATTACAATATGCTTCTGAAGAACATGTTAGCTTGTCCCAAATTAGGAATATGAGAGTAATAGAGATGTATGTTACGAGGCATAATTTTTTTTTTAAATATATTTCTTTATTGATTTCAGAGAGGAAGGGAGGAGAGAGAGAGAAACATCAATGATGAGAGAGAATCATTGATTGGCTGCCTCCTGCACACCCCACACTGGGGATGGAGCCCGCAACCCAGGCATGTGCCCTTGGCCGGAATTGAACCTGGGACCCTTCAGTCCGAAGGCCGACGCTCTATCCACTGAGCCAAGCCGGCCAGGGCGGCATAAATTTTTTTTAAAAAAAGCTCCTTTAATCATTCTTAAGTAAAAGAAAAGAAAAATTTAAAAAATTGCCCCCTTATAAAATGGTAATTCCAGAAGTGGTAATTGATATATTTTGGTTACTTACTTTTTTACACTTTATTCCATGCTTAGGATTATTTTTCACATCAAAGCAATCATACTAGTCACAATTTTGCATCCTACTCTTTTAATTTAGAAAATAAACATTTCCGTTAGAAAGACTAGTCTACTGGCTATTTTTTTTTAAACACAAAAACTATAGTATATTTCACTAGATATAAATAATAGAATTTGGCCAATCTCTAATTGTTCTTAAATTCTTACCTAATTATTGCTACAACTCACATTTTTTGTCCACAGTATTTATTTAAATGGTATTTTTAAGGGGGAGAGATGGACAATATAACAAGAAGTTTCCAGCTTATCAGAGGTTTATGTCTAATTAGGAAAATATACATGGCAGGGGGATTACAAAAGTGCTGTATAAGAAAGCATATAATAATCATATATATTAAGGTAAGAAGAAGTAGTGGAATTTCTTAGAAGGAGGGACTCATCAGAAAAACATTTTGCCAAGATTATGGAGCAAGACTTGGGAAAGTGATAAGTCTTAATGGTTGAAAATGTTCAGATAAGTGTGGGTGTTCAGGTCGGTTTGGGTGTTGGAGGAGGAGGTAACTTTCTGTTGATGTTCTTAAGAAGTATTTGAGAATAGTTCTCACTCAGGAAGCCCTCATCTCAAAGGCATAATAGTAAGCAAACAAGACTTTTATCAAAGATTGGACTCCTAATGCCCCTGCCCCAATCTACCAAATTTCTTTTTAATCTCGATCATCCACATCTTTTTCCCCTTTCATAATTCTCCTTTCTTTATTGTCAAAGATTCTCATCTACTTTAAGTAGTGGAAATAGGTTAAACCCTCCTACAAGGCACGTAACCCATACAAAACATTATGGTCTGTAGAATATTTTTTAAAACTGGAAAATGCTATCTTAGAACATACAATGTACGCATTCTAATCTTTAAAAAAATAGAAATAAGAGCATTAAAGAATATTAACCAAGGGTTATCAACTTGCCATACACCAAGTCAGAAACATAAAAACCCCTAATCTATTAAAAATAATAAGAAAATAACAAATAATGACTGTGAGTGGTATACTCTAGCAGGAATGGATCCCATCCTGATAATAATTCCAATCTTACTGTCTCGTAGGACATGCTTTGTGAACCTCAATGAGGCTGCCAGGTTTAGGACAGTTGTAAGAACCAGTGTCGGAAATGAAAGAGTAAGGCCTCACAAAATGTGTCATCATTGACCGTCTGACAGCCATTTTCCTTCTGTACCTTTTCTTCCTCGAGGATAGCAGCTGCTTCCCACAGACTCACAGGAGAGGACCCCAATCTATCCACCACACTCACCACGTGCGGATGCCCTGGGGCTTGCCTATTTACAACTTTGCCCCTCCACAGCATTGCGGGACCCTCAGGGGAGTTCTGGATTCCTCCACAGCAAGAAGTTTCACAAACAATTTTTGCAGCTCCCTGCCCCCAACTGTTTCCAAGGTTAGTACTTAAGATTCCTGTTATGCAATTTCTCCACCCACAGAACATAACCCACCAGTGGCCGGCAAACTGCGGTTCTTGAGCCACATGCGGCTCTTTGGCCCCTTGAGTGTGGCTCTTCCTAAGCCTTAGGAGTACCCTAATTAAGTTAATAACAATGTACCTACCTACATAGTTTAAGTTTTAAAAATTTGGCTCTCAAAAGAAATTTCAATTGTTGTACTGTTGACATTTGGCTCTGTTGACTAATGAGTTTGCCGACCACTGCCCTAACCCAACCCCTACACTCATCGGTAGCCCCCTTTCTAGTATAAAGCAACATCCTGTGCATGCTTCTTTTGGGTGGCTCAGATCTCTGACTCCCAGGGTCTTTCCACCATTTACTTAAAGCTTGGATATCATGCTTTCCAAGCAGTTTGATGAGGGTGAAATACATCTATAGCCACCTCTGCCTGCCCAACCTCCTTAACTTCTGCAGCTTCCTGGTCTCCCTCAATCCCAGCTTTGTGACAAAACTAGGCCTTCTGGCAGAGAGAGATCCCATAGATGACACGGCAGGTAGTGGTGACTTAAGCGAAGATCTCCAAGTTGTGAGATTAAACTTCCGGAAGGAAGGTCCTCTGTATATCCGTTTCCAGCCTGCCTCCAATGCTGTCTCATTAGAGCCAAAGAGAAAGGCGGGGAGAGTTGATGGGTACAGATTTGGGGGAGAGAAAAAGCACACACACAAAATTAAGAGGTATATAGGAGTTTTTACTTTCTTTGAACTGATGATATATATTTAAACTAAAAGGAAACCGTTCATACTGTAATGTATTAAACTGGCGGAATGCTCTTCCTGGTTTCTCTGCTGTGGGTAGATGTTCTCTGGCTTCAGCTGGTACCTCTGGAGAGTGAGGCAGCTTCTCAGCTCGGATTCCACCGCCCTGAGGAAAGGTAGAGCTGGAGGACCACGCCTGCCGGGAGCGAAGGGGAGAGACACAGGTCTCCTACGATCCGTCAAGTCTGCAAAAAGAGCCAGCGCCAGCCGAAAACCTGGAAGGTCAAAAGAGAAAGGGCGTGGCTGCGCGGAGGCGATGGCTGCGTGGTCTCAGCCCGAGCACCGCCCGAGGTCTCATCCCTCACTCCCACCCCTTTCACCAACCTGCGCCTCCATCCCCTCCCAGAGGATGCGCTCCTGCCCACACCACCCGACCCACCTCGGATCCTCGCGGCGCCACAATGGGGAGCCGCCCGCCCACCCACCTACCTGCTCCACCCACCTACCTGCTCTGCGCCTGC